AAACAAATGCTGTCAAGCGTCTAATACATGGCAGCTGGTGGGTTTAATATACATTCACAAATGTGCTGATATTATGTATACAATTATTATAGTATTGCATAATAGTAAATCTATTTTTTGGTGTGAATAAAAATTCACTATATGAATAAAAAAAAATGAAATTAATTTGTAAAGCCCGAAAACATAACTAATAAACAGAGAAAATGTTATTTTAGTGCCAGGAATGCCTGCAATGTTTATTCTGGACCCTATTTTGAAACTGGAATATTCTGAACTGTGTGAAATTGGCCAAATTACCAGTTTCCGATCACTTTACTGGGTAGTTGAAACAGTTGACTGGGCAATTTCTTGTGCTCAATTGATAAAATAGAAGTAATACTAGTGAAAAAGCTAAAAATTTGGTTGACGGGAATAATGTAATTGGCCTAAAATGGGAGTGAAAGTGGGCAAAATTGCCAATGCGTAAATATTGCTGATGCAGCAAAATTCGCAAGAGCGTAATTTCGTCAATTTTCCATCAAATTTCGTACTTTTTGTTTTATTACTTTCAGAAAAAGATTCTCTACCATTTCATAAGAAAAAATAAAAAATTTTTTTTTTAATATTCTTGGACCCTGTGGACAAGTTTCAGATCAGGGGTCTTGACTCTGAAAGGATTATAGGTGACAGACTGATCATGTCAAAACTACTTTTAATTTTTCCAGTGTTGTATTCACCTGCATTCAGTGGAAGAAGCCTCTTGTGCAGGCGAAACATTTCTGTAATTAAGATGCCTAAATGATGGACATGCATCTTATTAATCACGTGATGGAGGAATTTAGGAGGGTATGTAAAAAAAAGGGAGGGAGAACATAAACTGCAAAGCAATGTAATAAAAAATCATGCCAATGAAAAATTGGATATCAGATTGAAGGGAGAGAATATGGAGGAAGTAAGTGTTCAGATATTTGGTAGTGGACTTATTAGCATAGAAGAGAAGAAGGAAAAAAGGTGGGTGGTGTACTGAGGAATCTATTGAGACAAAACTATCAATAAATGGAGGCAAAAAGGGAGATGAACCAGAGTATAGTAGTATCAACACAGCTATGTAGGTGTGAGGCATGGGTTTTAAATGTTGCAGCAAGGAGGAGGAAGAGGCTGGAGGCAGTGGAGATTTCATGTTTGAGGGCAATGTGTGATGTAAATATTATGCAGAGTATTTGAAGCATGGAGATAAGATGAGAGGTTACCAAGAGTATAATTCAGAAGGCCAAGGAGAGGGTGTTGTAGTTCGGGCACCTAGCAAGAATGGAGTATAAAGAATGGCTAGGAAGGTGTATAAATATAAAGTGGAGGGAAGGAGGTGTAGGGGTCATCCCAAGAAGAGTTTGGAGGAAGGGAGGGTTCAAGAAGTTTTGACTTCTATGGGCTTGGACATCCAACATTTGTACTTACCTATTGTGGTTGCAAGGGTCTGAGTTTTAGCTCCTGACCCCACCTCTCAACTTAACGCTTGCCAGATCTGACTGCGTAGAGGCAAGAGGTATTTGTTATCTGACATGATGTAGAAAAGTAACATTTATGAATGGATTCAGGGGAAAACTTGTTAGTTGGACTGAGTCCTGAACTCTGAAGGAATGGTTGGGAATGTTGCAGTTCAGATGGCCATCTGAACTGTGATGTCAGGGTGCTTCTGGCAAGACAGAAATTAAGTGATGATAAATAGGTTTTTCCTTCTTCTGGGTCACCTTGCCCTAGTGGTAGAAAGACAGTGTGATAAAAAATAAAGGTAAAAATCCCATGAAAGCACATAGGAAACAAAGCAAGCTAAGAAATTGTTAGATAAGGCTTCCCAAAGGCTTGTGCCCTAGTCACTCTTCAGAGATATAGAAACTGGCCACTCTACCTACTATGGGAAGGCCCCACTTTACAGTGCTTATCTTTACAGTATTTCACTAATGCAGCAGTTTTCAATTACATCCATTCTTCATTTATTCAGACGTCTCATATGAAATATGTTCACCACTCACTATAAGAACATAAGAATGGAGGAACACTGCAGAAAGCCTACTGGCCCATGCAAGGCAGGTCCTTATCAAAATGACCTCTACCTAAAGCTACCCAAGAAATAACTCCTGTACCCAGTGACACCAATCAAACCCAGCCCCCCCCCACTCGTATATTTGTCCAATCTCTTCTTAAAGCTACCCAAGGTCCTAGCCTCTATCACCCAACTGGGAAGATTGTTCCACGCATCTACAACTCTGTTAGAAAACCAGTACTTACCTATGTCCTTTCTAAATCTATATTTATCCAACTTAAATCCATTATTTCTGGTTCTTACCTGGTTCGACACCCTCAGTACTTTATTAATATCTCCCTTGTTTATGCCCGTCATCCACTTATACACTTCAATAATATCTCCCCTCATTCTACGTCTCTCCAGAGAGTGGAGATTTAAGGCTTTAAGTCTATCTTCATACAGGAGATTCCTTACACAGTAAATCATTTTAGTCATTCTTCTCTGTATGTTCTCCAATGAGTCTATATCCATCCTGTAGCAAGGGGACCAAAACTGAGCAGCATAATCTAAATGAGGCCTCACTAGTGATGTATAGAGCTGTAAAATAACTTTTGGTCTTCTGTTACTTATACTTCTTGAGATAAATCCAAGTATGTAATCTGTTAGCCTTGTTGCGCACACTAAGGCACTGCTGTCTTGGCTTTAGATTTCTGCTTACCATGACTCCCAAGTCTTTTTCACATTCTGTATGATCAAGCTCTGCTTGATCATACAGAATGCTTGCTAAGGACAAAAATATTTTAACCCTTTCACTGTTGGTCCTGTAATATTATGGCTTGCAAACCAGTGTCAGTCCCACGATACTTTGCCAAAATTCTAGCATCTTCCAATCTTGCAGGAGAAAACTGGTAGGTTTACATATGAAAGAATGGGTCTAAGTGGTCAGTGTGCACAGCATGAAAAAAAATCCTGCAGCACGCAGTGCATGAGAAAAAAAAAACTGACCGTATTTTTGGTTTAAAACAGTGACTTTGCGGTGTATTTACGTATGGTATTTATGGATGTATTCTCGTTTTATTGGTCTCATTTGATAGAATTAAGATAGATATATTACTCAAACAGAGGTGATTTTGAATGTTTTATGGACTAAAAGTACCTTGAAATTGAGCTCAAAGTAGCGGAAATGTTCGATTTTTGCTGATGTTCAAGAGTAAACAAATCACGTCACGCGTCCAATACAAGTGGTGGGTCTAATATGTTTTCACAAATGCACTGATATTATTTATGCAGTGGACCCCCAGATTACGTAATTAATCCGTTCCAGAGAGAGTGACTTATCCTGAATCTGACTTATTTCGAATTAATTTTCCCCATAAGAAATAATGGAAATCCAATAAATCCGTTTCAGACGCCCAAAAGTATTAAAATATGTTTTCTACATGAAATATACATTTACCTACACAGAAATCAATGATACATGAAGAATAAAACAATAATAACATCACACTTACCTTTATTGAAGACATGGTGATGTATGGAAGACGGGAGGAGGGGAGAGGATGGAGGAGTTTACAATTGTTTGAAAGGGGAATCCCTTTCCATAAAGATGTCAAGTACCAAGTTCTTATCCTGGGTTACTTCCCTTCTTTGTTTTTTAATGCCACTAGGACCAGCTTGAGAGTCGCTTCACTTACTTGCTACACTGTTAATGCTACATTTTATAGCTGGCTGGAATATAGCCTTCATCAACTCCTGTTGCTTTGGTATCGTACATATTGCAGAATCACTGAAAAAAGACACATTCTCCCCTCTCTCTCAGCCCTGGCTGGCTTATTTAGCAGTTACAAGCACTAAAAAGAATGGAATAATACAAAATGTATTGTATGAATGCATGGGATCATCTTCACTGGCTGGTAAACAATGGCACACTGTACATGGAGTGTTGAGGCCACTCAGGCCGTGCGGACACATTCCGGATGAATGACTTATACCGAGTTCAGTGACATTCACCGAGCCAATATTTTGACGAAAAAACGTTACTTATTCCGAATATTATTTATTCCGATGATGACTTAATCCGGGGGTCCATTGTACCATTTTTACAATAATGAAGTAGTCTGCATAACAGTAAATCTATTTTTTATGTACCTCTACATTTGACCTTTGAAGAGTTTTGTGAGTTTCACTACTCTTGGAGCCTGGCCATGGGCCAGGCTTGTCTGGTGATTGCCTGATCAACCAGGCTGTTGCTGCTGTAGGCCTGCTGCCCCACAAAAAATTCAAAATGGAAAGCAAGTGTAATATAAGAGGGGCCTAGACACGTGACTAATGAACAGAAAATGTTAATTTAGTACGAGGAATGTTTATACTGTTAATTCTGGACCCTGTTTTGAAAATGGCCTTATCTGAATTGTGTATGAAATCAGCAAAATTTCCAAATTCTGATCACTTTATTGGATAGCTGAAATCGATAAATGGGCAGTGTCTTGCACTTGACCAATTGAACAAAAGGAGTTCTAGCAAAATAGCTGTGAGTTTGGTCGACTGGAACAATGGAATTGACTGAAAATAAGGCTCAAAGTGGACAAAATCGCTGATGTGTAAATACTGCCGACACCGCTAACTTCATGAGAGCATAATCCCATAAGTTTTCCATCAAATTTCATACTTTTGGTGTCATTACCATCGGTAAAAGATTCTCTATCATTTCATGAGAATTTTTTTTTTAAATTCTTCGACACTGAGAGCAAGTTTGTGAGCAGGGGTCTCGACAGTGAAAAGGTTAAGTATAATGTGTGTACTGTATATGCATTCTTTAGGTCTAGTTCTATTGCTCACTTAATATGCATGTAAACATGTTATCAGGTTTTCATAAGTACTTGAAAATGAATAAAGGCTGTGTTTCACTGTACAGCAATTTTTTGCTTTACGTATAGAAGGAGCTCAGAGCCTAACTTGCTGTATAAGTGGGGTCCTCCTGTACTCAACTGTAACATACCTCTTCAAGAAGCTCTAATGCAATGGTTCCTTGACCAGCCATAACATCAAAGTTATCAAAGGGATGAATAACAGTCTTGCCAGTCTTTGCTTGAATCTCGGCACAAACCTCCTGCCTGTTAGTGGAATGTTTTTGAGAATTAAACACATTACACATAAAAATAACATAATTACTTACTGGTAACAAGTAGAGAAGGAACTTCAAACTTTTTTTTTCATCTGTTACTAAATACATCCAAGTTCCATTACAATACGAGACAATGTTATTTAACCCTTTGACTGTCGCAACCCCAAATCTTTTGGTGCCGAAAAATATTTGAAAAAAAAAATTATTTTTTCTTATCAAAATATTAAGATTAATTTTCCGATTGTTTCAAGTCCCAAAACAAATTTTTGCCATCAGTATTTACCGAGATATAGAGGAGAAAGTTGGCAGAAAATGAGCCCGTATGGCAACAGTGGCACATGCTGCTCACCTGGTAAACTTTGGTTTACTTCCATTCAAAGGTTTCTTGTTTTTTTCACTATTTTATTTTTTCACATAACTTATGTGGCCTGTGAGACCAATGTAAGGTGCAATGTACACATATACACTCATTGTATGTAATACAATAATTGCACAAACATTAGTATCATTATACTGTTTACAAAACTTGTTTACACAAATGAATATAAAAAATTGTTTATTACTATTTTTCTATAATCTTTCTTTCTTTCAACACACCGGCCACATCCCACTGAGGCGGGGTGGCCCAAAAGGAAAAACAAAAGTTTCTCCTTTTACATTTAGTAATATATACAGGAGAAGGGGTTACTAGCCCCTTGCTCCCAGCATTTTAGTTGCCTCTTACAACACGCATGGCTAACGGAGGAAGAGTTCTGTTCCACTTCCCCATGGAGATAAGAGGAAATAAACAAGAACAAAAACTAGAAAGAAAATAAAAGAAAACCCAGAGGGGTGTGTATATATATATGCTTGTACATATAGTCGGACTTGAGTCTTGGAAATGGGAAGTACAATGCCTGCACTTTAAAGGAGGGGTTTGGGATATTGGCAGTTTGGAGGGATATGTTGTGTATCTTTATACGTATATGCTTCTAAACTGTTGTATTCTGAGCACCTCTGCAAAAGCAGTGATAATGCGTGAGTGTGGTGAAAGTGTTGAATGATGATGAAAGTATTTTCTTTTCGGGATTTTCTTTCTTTTTTGGGTCACCCTGCCTCGGTGGGAGACGGCCGACTTGTTGAAAAAAAAAAAAAAAAAAAAAAACGTGTAGTGTGACCTAAGTGTAAGTAGAAGTAGCAAGACATACCTGAAATCTTGCATGTTTGTGAGACAGACAAAAGACACCAGCAATCCTACCATCATGTAAAACAATTACAGGCTTTCGTTTTACACTCACTTGGCAGGACGGTAGTGCCTCCCTGGGTGGTTGCTGTCTACCAACCTACTACCTAGGTTTTCTATAATATATATACAAATTTACAATCACTGGACACTTTTCTAGAACTGCTGCAGCTTGTTGAATTCTTTGAGACATGGGTGTATACACAATGGTGTTTTACACTCCTCACACATAAAACGAGTGTCTCTGCATTTTTGTGGGCTTTTTGTTTGTATGTGCACAGACAAAACACCTCATCTGAGCAGTTTTCTTCAAAGTAGTACCTGGCATACACTATTCCTAGCCCCAACCAACCCAACAGAAGTCTTGCTCATCATCAACACCCTTAAAAACAAGGCAGGGGACATAAATAACTTACCACCTTTTATGTACAAAAAAGCATCTCAAGTACTGTCACCAATTATTGCAACACTCTTTAACAAATCCATCGAATCCTCCACCTTCCCAGCAATTCTCAAAATAGCAAGGGTCACCCCAATCCACAAAGGAGGTGATAACTGACTTGAATAACTATAGACCAATATCTAACATACCTCTGCTCTATAAAATCTTTGAAAAATTAATTCATAGACAGATCTATCCCTACTTCGTCTCACACAACATACTAAACCCTTGTCAGTTTGCATTCAGGACTAATAAAAGCACAAATGATGCTATTACATATACACATGCTAGAACTAATATACACCGCTCTCAAGAAGAAAGAAGTCCCATTGGGAATCTTCATTGATTTACGTAAAGCTTTTGATACAGTTGACCATGATTTGCCAAACATTAAATTAACACACTATGGTATAAGAGGGCACTCCCTCAACTACCTAAAGTCATACCTTAGTAACAGAAGCCAATATATGTACACAAATGGAGCAAACTCTTCCACTCAACCAATCATAGTTGGTGTCCCACAATGAAGTGTCCTTGGCCCACTCCTCTTTCTCATTTACATCAATGACCTACCAAATGCATCACAGCTACTCAAACCCATATTATTTGCAGACGACACAACATACGTCTTCTCTCACCCAAACCCAATCATACTTGCTAACACTGTTAATGCTGAATTGCAGAAAATATCTACCTGAATGATGACAAATACGCTTAACCTCAATACTGACAAAACTTATTTCATTCGGTTTGGAAACAGAGCTGCAAATCTTCCATTTAACATAATGCTAAACAAATCACCCATCACAAGACTCACAGAGGGAAAATTCCTAGAAATCCATCTTGACAACAGCCTCAAATTCCAGACACACATACAACAAATTTCTAAGAAAATCTCTAAGACAGTGGGCATACTATCAAAGATATGGTACTATGTTCCACAACCAGCTCTCCTTGTACTGTATCATTCACTCATCTACCCTTATCTCACACATGGAATTTGTGCATGGAGATCAACAACATTAAATCACCTAAGACCACTAATAACCCAGCAAAAGGCTGCAGTCAGAATAACAAATTCCCACTCCCATCAACATACTCCACCAATATTCAAAAGTCTACAACTGCTCACCATTAAGAACATCCATACTTATTCATGTGCCTACTACATACATAGAACACTACACTCAAACATAAACCCTCCACTCAAACTTCTCCTCACCATCCTTAACAGGACACACAACCACAACACAAGACACAGATCTCTTTTTGATGTACCCCGTGTCCGTATCTCACTGTGTAATAACTCTATGCACATAAAGGGCCCCAAAATTTGGAATTCATTACCAGTAAATATTAAAGTAACCAGGTCTGAACACCAGTTTAAGGCTCTTCTCAAAAACCACCTACTCACCCTAAACTAAATACGTACTCAATATTTAACTTTACCAAAAAATTATCCAAATCTTAACACTTTCAGGGTCGACAGGCCCTCTCAGAGACTTGTTCTCAGGGTCAGCCAAATTTCAAAAAAAAAAAATTATTTTTTCTTGTGAAAAGATAGAGAATCTTTTCCCGATCAAAATGACACCAAAAGTATGAAATCTGATGGAAAACTTACGGAATTATGCTCTCGTGAAGTTAGCGGTCTCGACGATGTTTACGCATCGGCGATTTTGCCCACTTTGAGCCCTATTTTCGGCCACTTGTTGACAAAAATCATAACTATTTCGCTAGAACTTCATTTTTTCTATCGAATGAGTATGAGAAACCACCCATTTACAGATTTCAACTATCCAATACAGTGGTCAGAATTTAGCAATTTTGCCAATTTCACACAAATTTCAAAAGATGCCAATTTCCAAATAGGGGCCAGAATAAACAAGAAAGACATTCCTGGCACTAAAATAACATTTCCTCTGTTCATTAGTCACGTCCCCATGCCCCTCTTACATTCCTTTGCTTTCCACTTTGAATTTTTATTCTCACAAAAAAATAAAAGGTTTTACTGTTATGCAGACTACTGCATTGGTGTAGAAATTGTATAACTATTATCAGCGCACTTGTGAAAGAATATTAGACTCACCAGTTGACATGTATTGGACACAGCATGATTTGTTTACTTTTGAACTTTGGTAAAAATCGAACATTTCTGCTACTTTGAGCGTAATTTCAAGGTACTTTTCTTTGTAAAACTAGTCAAAATCATCTCAATTTCTGTAATATGTCTTCCATTCTATAAAATTAGATCAGGAAAACTAGAATACAACAATAAATACAATACGAAAATACAGTGCAAAGTCGCCGTTTTAATCCAAAAACACGGTCAAAGTTTTTTTTTCTCATTTCACACTGTGTGCTGCAGGATTTTTTTTTATACCTAAAGTGGTTCACAACAGTGTCATTGAACAGGCTGCCAACATGGCTTGCAGTAGCTGTGTCAGGGTGATTTTCATCAAAAAAGCTTTGCACTTCAAGCCACTTTGCACACATTTCCTTAATCTTTGAAGTAGGCAACTTCTTCAATTTCTCCGTCCCCTCCTCCGAAGCAGTTTCCTCAGGTCTAGCCTCTTGCTGTTGAAGATGATCTAGCAGCTCATCAGTGGTTAGTTCATCATTGTCCTCCTCCACCAACTCTTCCACATCCTCCCCACTAACCTCCAACCCCAAGGACTTCCCCAATGCCCCAATGGATTCCTCATCTGGCATAGGATTCCCAGGGTTAGCCTCAAACCCTTCGAAATCCCTTTTGTCTACACATTCTGGCCACAGTTTTTTCCAGGCAGAGTTGAAGGTCCTCTTAGTCACTCCCTCCCAAGCCTTACCTATAAGGTTTACACAATTGAGGATATTAAAGTGATCCTTCCAAAACTCATTTAGAGTCAATAGTATCTGTGGTCACTTCAAAGCACCTTTCAAACATGGCTTTTGTGTACAGTTTCTTGAAGTTGGAAATGACCTGCTGGTCCATGGGCTGCAGGAGAGGAGTGGTATTAGGGGGCAAAAACATGACCTTACTGAAGCTCAATGTCCCCAGAAAGTCCACTCTGCCAAGTCCTGTCGGATGACCAGGGGGCATTGTCTAATACTATGAGGCACTTAAGGTCAATTCTTTTCACTAGGTAATTTTTCACATTGGGGCAAATGCATGGTGTAACCAGTCAAGAAAAAGACCCTAGTGACCCATGTCCTTAGTGTTTGCCCTCCACAGCACACACAAATTAGCCTTGAGGATATTCTTTTTGCCCGAACGATTCTGAGAGTTTTTCAGAGTGATACACCAATAAAAGCCTTCACTTGCAATCACCACTAGCATGGCAACACATCAGCAGAGTAAGCCTGTCTTCATAGGCTTATGTCCTGGGAGTGCCTTTCCTCCTGAGTAATGTAGGTCCTGCTTGGCAATTTCTTCCCAAAACTGGAGGCCTGTTTCGTTGCCAATTAAACCACATTGTTCAGTTTAAAATTCTTCACTGTCTATGTAATCCCTGAATTCCTTCACGACATTTTTCAGCTGCTTTTTTGGTCCAAAACAGGCAAGCCTCACCATGCCTCATCCAACACTATGTATGCACTAACCGATTCTTAAATCTTTCAAACCAACCTTTGCTGGCCTTAAATTCCCCCCCACTCACATCACCACTATTCAGCAATTTCTTCTTTACCCTAAATTCGTCATGCAACTGCCTACCTTTTCACAAATGAATCCTTTGAAGAATGCATCTCCTGCTATCTGTTTTTTCCATTTCCTCACAACACCAATAAACAGTCTCTCAACATCTTCTAACACTTGCGTCCGCTGTTTCGTAATCACACAGTTTGCCACCTTTTGCAAAACACTTCCTTGATTGCCATTTTCCTTCCTGGTCACTATAGTAGAGCTGGTTGGATTGGGGTTATGTAAATACAACTTGGCCACTTCGACACACTCACTCCACTTCTCTACTTTGCAATTATCTCTTTCTTTATTTTCAATAGTCATTAGCACCCTTTTTTCTCAAGGGATGCACTAGAAGCTTTCTTGGGGCCCATGGCCGACTGATTTCTGCAGAAAACAAGCACCAAAAACACTGTGATAATATGGAATGTACCGAATGTATCCTTAGATGAGAGCACACTGGCTGGCTTGTAAACACTGGCACACACTGGCAGGTCAGTGCCACACGCGGAAACGTCTGGCGGAATCACTTATACCGGGTTTTGTAACGGGAAGCGAGGCAAAATTTTTATGATACAATGCATCGAATACTGGATTTATCAGATACTGATGGCATCGCGAACCGGGGGTCCACTGTACTTGCAACATCTGCCACATTGCTCCCATATCCACTCTATCATATGCCTTTTCTAAACACATAAATGTAATAAAAACTTCCCTACCTTTATCTAAATACTGTTCACATATATGCTTCAATCCCCTACCCACTCTAAAACCTCCTTGCTCATCTGCAATCCTACATTCTGTCTTACCTCTAATTCTTTCAATTATAACCCTACCATACACTTTTCCTGGTATACTCAGTAAACTTATTTCTCTATAATTTTTACAATCTCTTTTGTCCCCCTTCCCTTTATATAGAGGGACTATATATGCTCTATGCCAATCCCTAGGTGCCTCCCCCATTTCATACATTTATTAAACAAAAATACCAACCACTCCAACACTATATCCCCCCCTGCTTTTAACATTTCTGTCATGATCCCGTCAGTTCCAGCTTCTTTACCTCCTTTCATTCTACGTAATGCCTCACGCAGCTCCCCCACACTCACATCCTGTTCTTCTTCACTCTTAAAAGATGGTATACCTCCCTAGCCAGTGCATGAAATTACCGCCTCCCTTTCTTCGTCGACATTTAAAAGTTCCTTAAAATATTCTCACCATCTACTCAATACCTCCATCTCCCCATCTACTAACTCTCCTACTCTGTTTTTAACTGACAAATCCATTCGTTCCCTAGGCTTTCTTAACTTGTTTAGTTCGCTCCAAAATTTTCTCTTATTTTCATTAAAATTTCTTGACAGTGCCTCTCCCACTCTTTCATCTGCTCTCCTTTTGCACTCTCTCACCACTCTCTTCACCTTTCTTTTACTCTCCATATACTCTACTCTTCTTATAACACTTCTGCTTTGTAAAAAGCTCTCATAAGCTAACTTTTCCTTTTTTATCACACCCTTTACTTCATCATTCCACCAATCACTCCTCTTTCCTCCTGCACCCACCCTACTATAACCACAAACTTCTGCCCCACATTCTAATACTGCATTTTAAAACTCTTCCAACCCTCTTCAACTTCCCCCCCCCCTCCCACTACTCATACTTGCACCAGCCCACCTTTCTGCCAATAGTTGCTTATATCTCACCCGAACTTCTTCACCTCCCTCTTACTTATTGTTGCCATTTTCCTCTTTTCCCATCTACCTCTTACTCTAACTGTAGCTACAACTAAATAATGATCTGATATATCAGTTGCCCCTCTATAAATGTGTACATCCTGGAGCCTACCCATCAACCTTTTATCCACCAATACATAATCTAACAAACTACTTTCATTACGTGCTATATCATACCTTGTATATTTATTTATTCTCTTCTTCATAAAATGTGTATTACTTATTACCAAACCTCTTTCTACACATAGCTCAATTAAAGGCTCCTCATTTTCACTTACTCCTGGCACCCCAAATTTACCTACTACTCCCTCTACAATATTTTTGCCCACTTTAGCATTGAAATCCCCAACCACCATCACTCTCACACTTGGTTCAAAACTCCCCATGCATTCACTCAACATTTCCCAAAATCTCTCTCTCTCCTCTACACTTCTCTCTTCTCCAGGTGCATATATGCTTACTATAACCCACTTTTCACATCCAACCTTTATTTTACTTCACATAATCCTTAAATTAATACATTTATAGTCCCTCTTTTCCTGCCATAGCTTATCCTTTAACATTATTGCTACTCCTTCTTTAGCTGTATTTGAAACCCCTGACCTAATCCCATTTACTCCTCTCTACTGAAACTCTCCCACCCCCTTCAGCTTTGTTTCACTTAAAACCAGGACATCCAGCTTTGTTTCACTTAAAGCCAGGACATCCAGCTTCTTCTCATTCATGTACTTGTAGTAAATAAAGATATTATTATTATTATTATTATTACTAGTTTAACTACGTGGTGTTCAGAACATACAAGGAACTTAAGTAAGACTGTGGCTCTTCCTATCTTTCACTGTCTTACTGGATATTACGTTAAAAGATTAATATATTCACATCAATCTGTTAATTATTTGCACAGGAAATTACTGGACTATTTTCAGGAGTTACTAAAATTATGTAACAATATCTGCTTTTGAATGTCTAACCTGGATGTTGGTGTAGGTTGGCAATAAACCAGCTCAGCACCGTACTCTCTGATGGCATCACACTTGACTTTTGGAGTGTCCTTGGGAACAACCACACTGCATGGCAAGCCAGCACACTCTGTAAAACCAAGAAGAGCATGACACATATGCCAGGTGCATTTTTTTTTTTCAGCACAAAGGCTGTCTCCCACTGAGGCAGGGTGACCCAACAAAGAAAAAAAAACACTTTTGGTACCATTCAACACTTTCACCATCATTCACACAATATCACTGTCTTTGCAGAGGTGCCCAGATATGACAGTTTAGATGTCACTCCAAACAGCCAATATCCTAAACTCCTCCTTTAGAATGCAGGCATTGTACTTCATAAGAACATAAGAAAGAAGGAACACTGCAACAGGCCTACTGACCCATGCAAAGCAGGTCCATGCCACCCTCCAGCTTACCCCAATGACCCATCTAGTCAGGTCACTTCCACTTAAGGAGCACGGCATCAGACCTAGTAGCACAAGCTAGTCTGGTCCAACTCACACCTACCCACACCCACTTATGTATTTATCTAACCTATTTTTAAAACTACACAACGTTTTAGCCTCTATAATTGTACTGGGGAGTTTGTGCCACTCATCCACAACTCTATTACCAAACCAGTGCTTTCCTATATCCTCCATGAATCAGAATTTTTCCAACTTGAAGCCACTGCTGCGAGTCCTGTCTTGAAGATTGAGACACTTATGCAACTTAAAGGAATCTTTAATGAGGAAACATTTCACCAAACAGTGGCTTCATCAGTCCAATACAAAGCAGAAAGGTATAAGGAGAGAAGGAATTTGAGGTAATCTGTCCCTCAGCCTGGAATTGATGTGTTCAGTCCATCACTCTTGTAGAATGTACAGCATAGGGCCATAGATGTGGCTTATATACTGTAGTCAGGTAAGGCGAAGCAGGAGGAGGCGGGGTTATAATGGTACCATCCACTAGTCTAAGTAGGTCTTCGTCCAAAGGTTGAACAAGTTTTGAAGAAATCTTTGAATCAAGATCCCATGATGCTGCAGTGTATGACAGACACTGCAGCATTGATTGAGTACAAGAAACCGGCCATTTACCGATTGACAATTTGGCTAATTTCATGCAAATTAAAAAAGATGCCAATTTCAAAATAGGGTCCAGAATGAACAATGCAGACATTCCTGGCACTAAAATAACATTTTCTCTGTTAATCAGTCACATTTCCAGGCCCCTCTTATGTTACTCTTGCTTTCTATTTTGAATTTTTATTCACAAAAAAATAGAAGATTACTTTTATGCAGACTACTGCATTATTGTAATAATTGTATAAATAATGTCAACCTATTCGTGACTGCATATTAGAACGGCTAATTGGACACTTATTGGACAATGACGTCAGTTGTTTACTCTTGAACATAAGAACATAAGAAAGAAGGAACACTGCAACAGGCCTACTGACCCATGTGGAGCAGGTTCATGTCCCCCCCCAGATTGGACCAGTGACCCCCCTCCCCTGGATTAGCCCAATGACCCACCCAGTCTGGTCACCTCCACTCAAGGAAGGAGCACGGCACCAGACCCAGCAGCACAAGCTAGTCAGGTCCAACTCACACCCACCCACACCCACTCATATATTTATCTAACCTATTTTTAAAATTACACAACGTTGTAGCCTAAATAACTGTACTCGGGAGTTTGTTCCACTCATCCACAACTCTATTACCAAACCAGTGCTTTCCTATATCCTTCCTGAATCTGAATTTTTCCAACTTGAAACCATTGCTGAGAGCCCTGTCTTGGATGGAAATTTTCAGCATGCTATTTACATCCCCTTTATTTATTCCTGTTTTCCATTTATACACCTCGATCTTTTTCCAAGTGCATTTGCCAAATAATCCATTATGTAGAACAGCTTTAGAGGAGAGCTTACTGGCACATACATAAATGTCACTAAATATAAAAATTAAATTTCAGAGCCCATATGTTTCAAACGTATGATGAAGCAAGGCTCACTTTATGTTACAGTAGACCATCGTTTAACACAGTAGTAATGTTCCTGAAAATGCTGTGGTAGTTAAAACCATGTTAGAAAAACTGAAGAGCTTATGGAAAAAATAGGGTTACATTCCTGGGAGCCCCCAAAAAGCCAAACAACTTTTTTTTACACCAACAGATCTTACAAAAACTGAAAGTGAATATGTAATTGTAGTTCATTGTCGTGATGTATTATGTTGTTTTTAACTGTTTAAGATTACAAATGCAACAGAAACAACAGTATTTCTTACCTTAAATTGTGGGTGTTGGTATTTGTGGATGATTGTGGAGAGTGAGAGCTATGCTGTGGCCCTACTGGGCTGAGGTGGAGGGTAGAGACTCTGGTACTGAAGTCGATGGTTATACTGAAGTGTGCATAAATTCTGTAATGATTTCTGTTCTATTTTACCCCACAGTACATTATACAACTGACAGTAAGGCATCAGCTGCTCTAAACACCATTTAGGGGTCCTCTTCAGTGAAAAAGTCTAACTTTAATTAAGTCAGTCAGTAAATCAGTCACATCAGTAAGTCAGTCAGTAAATCAGTCATATCAGTAAGTCAGTGAGTCAATAAGTCAGTCAAGTCAGTAAGTCAGTCAAGTCAATAAGTCAGTCAATAAGTCAGTCAAGTCAGTAAGTCAGTCAAGTCAGTAAGTCAGTCAAGTCAGTAAGTCAGCCAAGTCAGTAAGCCAAGTCAGTCAGTCAAGTCAGTCAGTCAAGTCAGTCAGTCAAGTCAGTCAAATCAGTCAGTAAGTCAGTCAGTCAGTAAATCAGTCAGTCATCACACAGACTCACATTTACCTCATTCTTTTTATGTGCACAAAATGACGCTTCATTACAGCCACTGGCTATCTCTTGTCTAATATCTCTATTTTCTTTGTTAATTCTAAGACTTAAACGCTTAAACCTTTTCTTGCCACTTTCAGCAATACTTGTATACCTACTGGGTGCCATGATTGCTTGGCAGATTTAAGATATGGCAATTAAAAGATCTAAACTCAATACACAAACAAAAATAAACACAGGTAACTCCAAGCAGGCATCCTACACATGTATGAACTGGTTGGTACAAGAGGGGTGGAAATGGTGGAGGGCGGTGGGGATGGCGGGGGATGGCTGTAGGTCCCCCGTTGACTCAACAGCCAAGCAGCATGTATCCTGCGGGCAATGTGCGCTCCAAATTTTTTCCTCTCCCACAAACTAAACTATGTTGAAATTAAGACACATGTGCAACATCTGGGTATCTTTATTGTAGACGTTTCGCCATCCAGTGGCTTTATCAATACAAATTCTAGGACATAACTTGAAGACAGTAGGACTATAAACAGAAGACGAGGTAATCAGTCGCTCAACCTAGGAGTAGGTGCGAAGAGCACTGTAGTCATGGAGATTCTGAAGCAGAAGCAAGGAGACTGGTGCTTATATAGTAACGTCAGGTGTAGCAGACGAGGGCATAGTCACTGGTAGGCGGGATTCATCTTGTCGGTATTATATACCATTCTTGCACAACTTGTCAGACACTGCAACATCATGGAATCTTGATTCTGAGGACATGTACATAACCTTCACGGCTACGACAACTACTACAACTAACCCATCTCTTTGGGAAGGACCTACTTCCACTGGGAAATCCCGCCTACCAGTGACTATGCCCTCATCTGCTACACCTGACGTTACTATATAAGCGCCAGGTTCCTTGCTTCTGCTTCAGAATTTCCACGACTACGGTGCTCTTCGCACCTACTCCTAGGTTGAGGGACTGATTACCTCATCTTCTGTTTATAGTCCTACTGTCTTCAAGTTATGTCCTAGAATTTGTATTGATAAAGCCACTGGATGGCGAAATGTCTAAAATAAAGATACCCAGATGTTGCACATGTGTCTTAATTTCATCTTGTCAGTATTATATACCATTCTTGCTAAACTATGTTAAGTTAATTTTATGAAGTGTTTACAAAAATATGCCGCAATGCTTGAATAGTGATACAGCCAGAACGTGCCAAACAAAACCGTGCTAAATCAGATCAAATCAAATTCTCTAAAAGGATTACAATGCTGAGTTTACAGAATTTGGATATTGTGTGGTTTATATGTTTTAAAATACAGTGGACCCCCGGTATTCGATATTAATCCATTCCTGAGAGCTCATCGAATACCGATAATATCGAAAACCGAATCAATTTTCCTCATAAGAAATAATGGAAATCAAATTAATCCATGCAAGACACCCAAAAGTATAAAAAAAAATTTTACTACATGAAATATTAAGTTTAATGCAATAGAATAATTACAATAACAATAAAATAATTGACACTTACCTTTAATGAAGATCTGGTGATGATTGATGGGATGGGAGGAGGGGAGAGGTGTTAGTGTTTAGAAGGGGAATCCCCTTCCATTAGGACTTGAGGTAGCAAGTCCTTTTCCGGGGTTACTTCCTTTCTTCTTTTAATGCCACTAGGACCAGCTTGAGAGTCACTGGACTTCTGTCGCACAACATAACTGGCAGCCTCACCATGCCTAATCACACTATGTATGCCACTACGATTCTTAAATCTTTCAAACCAACCTTTGCTGGCCTTAAATTCACTCACATCACCACTAGTTGCAGGCAATTTCTTTACCAAATCGTCATGCAACTGCCTAGCCTTTTCACAAATGATCGCTTGAGAGATGCTATCTCCTGCTATCTGTTTTTCATTTATCCACACCAGTAACAATCTCTCAGCATTTTCTAACACTTGCGGTCGCTGTTTCGTAATCACAGTTGCACCTTTTGCAAGAACAGCTTCCTTGATTGCCTTTTCCTGGGCACTATAGTAGAGATGGTTGATTGGGGTTTATTATACAACCTGACCAGCTCCGACACACGCACTCCACTTTCGTACTTTTCAATTATCTCTTTCTTCATTTCGTAAGTCATTAGCGACTTTTTTCTCGAAGGGTTGGCACTAGAAGCTTTCTTGGGGCCCATGGTGACTTTTTTTTTTTTTATTATTATCACACTGGCCGATTCCCACCAAGGCAGGGTGGCCCGAAAAAGAAAAACTTTCACCATCATTCACTCCATCAC